AGGTCCAACGACACAGTACAATGCAAATCTTGTGTATTTGAATTCTTAGTAGTCACATTTAAGAAAATCAAACTAAATAAATAAACTTAATATTATTAATATATTTGAAACATGTAATATCACTTCAACATATAATCTATATTAAAAATTATTAATGTGGCTAGTTACATTTTTTACACAAAGTCTTTAAAATCTCATGTGTATTTTACCCTCAAGGCACCTTTCCATTTGGACTTGCTACATTTCATGTGCTCTAAAGCCACATATGGCTGGTGACTTCTGGCCTGTATGCTGGCTCTACATGTCTCATCTCACTGGCCCAATATCGTGCCAAGTTTTCATTTTCCATTCCCCAGCACCTACTCCTAAAGTATTTTAAAACATTAAAAACAAAATAACTAATTGTTTACAAAGCAGAAGCTTTGAAGAAGCCTAAGGGAATGACATTTTTTTTTCTCAGATTAAAAGGAGATTGCCCTTAGTTTGGGGAAGATGAGGGAGTCCCCAGGAGAAGGTGGGAACTGGTACCAGTTCTTTGCAGCACCTTGGAAAGAAGGCTGCACGGTGTCTCCAGGGAGGAGGAGCAGGATCTGCATGAGCCTGACAGCCAGAGCCCGGCATGACAGCAGTGAGATTTCTTGTGCTGGTGAGGCCATAGAACAGGGACCCCAGGGTTATTTGCCAGAACAGATGTCTCATTCTAGACCCTCTCTCCAAATGTTTAGCTACCTCCTAGGAGCTCTAAACAGTGGCTAAGGCCCAGGAGAGCATCCTTGACAATGACTAGGGTTAATTTCCAAAAGATAGAAGGGAGCTGGATCATTATTTTTATTATCATGAATTTTCTTGCATTAATTTTGAGTTTTAAAAATATTGCATTAACATGCATCAGTTTGTCAGGATAAACCCAACTACTATGTAGAGCTATAAAGCTCTAATTAAAAAAAAAAAATATTGCATTCATCCAGGTGTGATGATGCATGCCTGTAATCCCAGCAACTTGGAAAGCTGAGGTGGGAGGACTGCAAGTTTGAGGCCAGCCTCAGCAACTTAGCAAAGCCCTAAGCAACTCATCAAGACTCTGTATCAAAAGAAAATGTGAAAAGGGCTGGGGATGTGGTATATATATATCTCACACTGAAATATTTATTTCAATAAGCACATAAAAAAGATGTTACACATCACTAGTCATTAGGGAAATGCAAATCAAAAGCACAATGAAACACTAACTCCCACGCATTACTCGATGATTACTATCAAAAATACAGAACATAGCAAATGTTGGCAAACTTGTAGAACAATTTTACACTGTTGGGAACATAAGATGGTACAGCCACTATGGGAAACAGTGGAAAAAATTGGAAAATGAGTTTTTGAGCTTCCTCAAAAAATTAGAAATGATATTACCATATATGATCCAGGAAGCCCACTGTAGGTATATACCCAAAATAACGGAAAGCAGGTTTCAGAAAAACGTTTGCACAGTGTGGACATAACGGTGTTATTCACAACAGCTACAGAAGCACACAAGTGTCCACAGGTGAACGGATGAACAAACAGGATGTGGTCTGTACATGTCACTGAACCTGCCCGGCTTAGAAAGGAGGGAACTTCTGACACATGCGACATCATCGGTGAACCGTGAGGACGAGGCTAAGTGAGGGAAGCCAGTCACAGGACGCACCCTGTGTGACTCCACTTAATATGAGGGGCCTACAGTGGCACATTCAAAGGGAGAGAGGACCGTGTCTGTCAGGCTGGGGAGGGGACTCGGGTGCTGTGGTCTGAATGCCCGCGGCACTCCAGTGTTCAGACGTTGAGAGCCCTGATAGCCAACGTGACAGACTCATAGGTGGGGCCTTTAGGAGTAGGGTTAATTACAGCTTCTTCATCACTGTGACCAAAAAAAAAAAAAAACTGACAAGAACAATTTTAAGGAGGAAACGTTTATTTGGAGACTCATGGTTTCAGAGGTCTGAGTCTATAGACGGCCGACTCTGTCACTCTGGGCTGGAGGGGAGGCAGAACATCACGGTGGAAGGGTGTGGTGGAGGGAAGCAGACACAGACCGCAGACCAGAGTCAAAATATCTACCCCAAAGGCACATCTCCCCACACCCGCCTCCTTCAGCCACACCCCACCTGCCTACAGGTTCTGCCTAGTTAATCCCTATTAGAGGATTAATGCACTGATTGGGTGAAGGCTCTCATAACCCAGTCATTTCACCTCCAAACCTTCTTGCATTGTCTCCCACATGAGCTTCTGGGGACACCTCACATCCAAACCATAACAGGAGTCATGAGGCTCTCATAAAAGGTTGAAGGGAGCTCCCACTTGCCCTGTTCTGCCCTTCCACCTTCTCTTCCATGGGAGGACCTGAGGTCCCTCCCCTGCGGAGGTCTCAGCAACAAGGCCCCACTGTGGAAACAGAGACAAAGCCTTCACCAGACACTGAATCTGCCAGCCCTCTTGATCTTGGACTTTCTAGTGCCCAGAGCTGTAATAAATAAATAAATAAATAAATTTCTGTTCTTTATAAATCACCCAGTCTCTGGTATTTTGTTATAGCAGCACCAAAAAGACATGGGAAGCCATTGTTTAACAGGTACAGAGTTCCAGTTTGGGAAGGCAGAAAGAGTTCTAGATTTAAGTGGTGGTGGGTGGTCGCACAGTGTGAATGTGCTTTAGGCTACTGAAATGTATGCTCAAAAATGGCCACAATGATATATTTTAATACAATTTGAAGACCATTCTTATTTGGATCACAGATAGTTTTTTGTTTTGCTTTGTTTTTGTTTTTGCATTGGTGTAAAGCTCTCTGAAAACCAATGATTTGGAACCCCAAAAGACAATTATAGCAGGAAAGTCTTTAAGATTGCCAAATGAGTTCTACAAACAATGCTTCCCCAAGCCCTCACTCGATAGTCTCTGTTTTATCTACAATGGAGGCAAAATTATCTCCTAAGGAAGCCACCCCCCAACACACACACACACACACACACACACACACACACGACACCATCCACACACAACTAGAGGGTGGCCTGGGAAACCCACAGCAATAAGTGCTCTCAAGGGCCCATGTGGCAATGGGGAGAGGGACTCAGTGCAGAAGAGGCTACAGAGCGGCTGTGAAGTGGGAAACCACACATTTCCAGACCTTAAGAGTCTGTCAAAGTTTTCCGGGCAGTTTCTTGAGTGGGAGAACTAGGCTTTGAAACGTTGGCATTCTGGGACATTGTGACGGAAAGAGGAGACAAGATCGCATATTGAGCATTTGACACTCTGCCCCCTCAAACCCAGAACGTGTGATCACTGGAATGGATTTAGAGTGACAAGCCACAACCAACACCTCCATTCTGAGACAAGTGTTTTTATCTGTAATTTAATTTGATGCTTCCCAGGGCTGGGAAGATAATAGCTGTGGACAACAGGAAGCTATGGGGTCGGGCAGGTTTCCCTCACAACTCAGATGGCAAATGTTGTGGTTTGAGTGTGTCCCCAGAGTCCTGGTGCTGGAAACTTAATCCCCAGTGCAACAGTATTGGGGCTGTATTGGACTCTGCCCTCACGTATGGATTAAGGTCTTTATGACTGGCATGGATTAGTTATTGAGAGAGAAGGTTTAAAAGCAAGTTAAGGGGATGGGGATGTAGCTCAGTGGTAAAGTGCTTGCTTAGCAGGTGTGAGGCCCTGGGTTTGATCCCCAGCAACACAAAAAAAAGGAAAAGAGAAAAATTAGGTTCAGCCCTCTCTTGCTCTCTTGCTTCTGAATGCCATGCCAGCACCATGCCCTTGAATTTACCAGTCTCCAGCACTGTGAGCCAAATAAATCTCTACTCTTTATAAATTACGAGTCTCAGGTATTCTGTTATAGCAGCAGAAAACAGACAAAGACATCAAGAAATCTACATAGACCAAAAGCAAATCCCATTCACAGTAACTGGCAAGGCTTAGAATGCTGGTGATACATTCTTCACCCTGATTGAATCAGTGCCCACTAAGGATCAGTCTTATTTGTTACTTTCAGTAGGACATCCAGAAGTAACTGCTTCTCAGATTAGCATCCATCTAATTCATGATTTGGCATTTTCTCGCATTCTCTGGAGGCATCCACTTGACAATCAGAACAGTCACCTACAGGGGTGCTCCAGTGAGTTCTGCCCGAAACTACCCCCTGCTCTGCCCAGAGGACACTAAGAATTTAAATCTGAGAAGTTGTGCCTCAGATGCGGGGTTCCAACCTGATCCCCTGCTGTGAACTACCTGCAACTAACTGCCCACTCCTTAGGGTCCCAGAGAGCCTTTGCCACACCATTAGGTCAACAGGAATCTTTCAGAGACCTGTAGGCTGGAGCCAGGAGTCTGAGGATGCGCAGGCGGGTGGAGACGGGTGGGCTTTCTTAGCTGCTAACTAGTCAGGAGCCACATCATCTAACTATCAGATGGGAGACTGCGTCCCTGCTTTTCTTGGCAGTATTTTTTCAGTGTCTTGGGCACTTTGCAGTTTCATCAGCCCAAAAAAGAGACTTCCTGAGGTCACATTCCTATTTCTGGCTGATTTTGTGGCCTCATTTCTTGAGTGAAAAAGGGAGGCTCATTCAGCCTCCATAAAGGTCCCTGTGTGGCCTCCACCCTCACAAGAGGCAGGAAGAGCCCATACTCTGGAGCCACATTGAGGCTCACCACAGGGAGGACAGCAGGACCCCCTCCTCAGAAGTGCAGGCGCCCTCATTTGCCTAGAACTAACTCCATCATTGACACACCTAAGGCCACGCCTCCAGAAGGTTCTCAGGTGAGTAAACACGCATCGCTTAGGCCATTTCCCTGGGCCGTAACCTTATGCCTGGTGGCCAGGCTGGGAATCCCCCATGAACATCTGTGGGCTCTGCCCCTGTGCCACCATCATAATGAGAAGGGAAAGGGGGTCCCTACCTAGTGACAGAGATCACCAAGAGTCAAGAAGGATAACTACGCGGCTCCTTTGGGGTTCCAGGTACCTGGGGGGAGTTTTCCTCTCAGTTTTCTTGAATTCCAAGTGATCACATTGTCACCAGCCTCTGTGAGGAAAGCTGGCAATTCCATACACTCTGTCCTCTCGGCAAACGCGTGGAATCTGAAACACAAGGACGTTCCACATGAAGCCAGAGACGGGTGAGTGCGCCTCTCTGTTCAGGACTGTGAATCTCCTGTCTCCTTAGGGCTGAGCATCTTAATCTCACCATGTTCACCCCTTTCCTTTACACTCTATCAATTTCCACCAGTAGACAGGAAGGCAGAAGAGTATCGGAAATGGTTTGGGAGGTTGTTTCTGTTTGTTTGTTTGGTTGGTACTAGGGATTGAACCCACGGGGGTTTAACCACTGAGCCACATCCTCAGCCCTTTTTTACTTTTTATTTTGAGATAGGGTCTTGCTAAGTTGCTTAGGGCCTCATTAAGTTTCTGAGGCTGACCTCAAACTTGTGATACTCCTGCCTCAGCCTCCCGGTCTAAAATGGTTTGGGATTTTAAGTGATGATGTGTCTTTTCATTACAGGGTAATTAGCTCAACCAAATGGTATTTTTTGGTTTTTGGAAAATGATACCCTATTCTTCTATTTATTCTTTGGTTCCTGGGGTTCCAACATGCCAACAATTTTAATGACTCAGGATTTTAATGCGGTGACCCTGTAGCAGCCATCGGCATGTGGGCCTGTTGAAGTCTGGGGATATGGGCAGCATTGGCTCGTTCTCCCATTGCGGACGGGCCTCAGTCAGCTTTAACTCAGCAAACACATACTTCCCTGGGACCCAAGGTGAAGTGCTAGTTAAAAGAATTGCTGTCCAGGCAAGTTTTCAGGGCCTGTCTACCCAAAGTGTGGTCCAAAGAACAACCGCAGTGGCAGGGCCTGAGAGCAGGTTAGGGATCCGCATCCCCATGCCCCAACTGGGCCTGCTGGGTCAGAACATGCACTTGAATGTCCCCCGGGTGAGTGTGCAAATTAAAGCTTGACAAGTGCTGGTGAGGTTCACACAGGGGAGCGGGCTGTCACACTCCTAGCCCCCCCTAACCGAAATCCAAATTGTCAACAGCACCAGGGCATTAGATTTTGAATGGCAGAGAAGGTCTTGGTAATGCTAAGAGTTCCGCCTCTGCCAGTTCCTGCTCATTCAATGCAGAAAATCCTGCAGCAGAGCCTGGGGTGGACAGACGGGCAAAGAAATGGTAGGAGAGGTCTAGGGACCTTCTGGACCATGGGAAGCCTCACACCTGCCTCAAAGGTTCTGGGGAGACTCCATGGCAGTGAATAAATCTCACTCCAGTGCCCCCTTCTAAGGCCAGCGGACTCAGACTGGCCATGCCTGCCCCCTATGAGAGCTTCATCTAGAACAGAAACTGCCAGTTTCCTTCCTCCTGTGACCTCCTAGCAGGGCAAGTGAGGGAGGCAGAAGAAGTCTGTCCTGGCGGAACCCACGCCCTGAGTCTGGTGAGGCCTTTGGTGCCCAGGATTTTCCACTCTGATCTGTTCCCCAGATTAGAAAAGAGAGCAGGAGAAGGTTTCCTCCTGCTGATACCACCTTGCCTGTGCAGAAGCAAATCCCTTAATAGTGATATAATACGACTCTAATACAGCAGAGCTATTGGAATATAGCCCTGAGGCCACACTGATGGTTCCACTAGACACCGACTCGGTGTCTAGGGGGCCAGAGTCCACCTGAAAGACCAATAAGCTGGGACCACCTCCTCCAAGTTAAGAGGCCCACGACATACTGTTTCTGGTCAGATATTAACTGTCCTCTATTTGGGGCCCAGCAGCCCAAGGCGTGCCAGAGGAACCGGGAGCCATGGGTATCTGGGCAGGGGTGGAGCAGGAAGCAGCAGCACTGGCAGTGGGTAGGCTTGCTGTGAGGGCCCTGGGCAGGCACAGGAGGGCATATCTACATCTGCCCTATCTTAAAAACACACCTCCTCACAGTCAGTAGGGAACCACAGCTTCTCCCGTGGTTAATTACTCCCTGGGCTGTAGCATGCCCACAGAGAGTGCCCCAGGTGACAGAGCAGAGGACAAGCAAGACAAAGGGCCCTGCTAGTTGTCTTTTTCTCTCCCCCAGTGAAGGTGGGGAAGTGAGCCCCCTTCTGTACTGGGGAAGCTCAGGAACCCAGAATGGAAGTCAAGTTCTTGCTATGAAAAGATTTCAGAGGACCCAAGAGTAACCAGAGGATGGCCTCAGACTCCCAGATTCCTAGCCCCCATCAGACCCTGAAAATCAGAATCCACATTTCCATCGAGCTCCTTAAATTGTTATTACACAAATTGGTGGGCAAATTTGCATATTCCCATGCTCCTCTCTGTTATGTGGAATCAGCAAAGGCCAAGGCCAGGCCTCTGCATCATCAGCACACTCCCCTGCCATTATGACAAGCAGCTCCATTTAAGAGCAAGGGCTGTGGGCAAAATGTGTACCCATTTCAGACAGGTTGACTTAGGAAAAGGCTCATGAATTCTCCTTACGGCCACCAAGTGGCTGGTCTCTCTCCAAGGGGACCTAAACTTGCACATACAGAGAGAGAGAGAGAGAGAGAGAGAGAGAGAGAGAGAGAGAGAGAGAGAGACCAAAGAAGGGGAGACATGTTTAAGATATGGGTTTTATGGGCTGGGCCTCGGGCTCAGTGGTAGAGCGCTTGCCTAGCATGTGTGAGACAGTAGGTTCAATTTTCAGCACCACATAAAAAAATAAATAAATAAAGACATTTTTTAATATTTAAAATATTTTTTAAAGGTGTGGGTTTTATTAATATTATTCAGGTGCAGTAAGGCCAGCAGCTCAGGAGACCATCACTATTGAAAAGACAGTCACTGCTACAGACTGATTTGTGTCTGGGTTCCCACTTCCCATTCTGTATATTGAAGCCCTAATTCACAGTATGACTATATTTGGAGACAGAATCCATAAGGAGAGAGTAAAGGTTGACTGGGATCACCAGGTTGGGCCCTGAGCAGGCAGGATTAGTGACCCTGTAAGAAAAGGAAGGGAGAACCTGAGAGTTGACCTGCTCTCTTCCCACCAGGTGAAGCTGTGGTGAGAAGTCAGCTGTCTACAGCCAGGAAGAGAGCCCTCACCTGAAACCAAGTGGCTCCTAACCTCTAGGACGCTGAGAAATAAATTTCTGTCTTTAACCCATCTTGTCTCTGATATTTTGTTATGGCGGCGTGCAAGAGTTCAGTTCCAGAATGTCCTCCAAAGGCGCATGTGTTAAAGGCTAGGTCCTCAGCTTGGCACTCTTGGGAGATGGTGGGACCTTTAAGAGGTGGGGCCTAATGCAAGGTCTTTAGATCATTTGGGGAACCCTTAATAGGGATCGTGGAACCCCAATCCCCTTCTCTTCTTCTCTTTTGCTCTCTGGCCATGAGGTGAGCCATGTGCTCCTGCAACAGGCCCAAAGAAATGGGGCCAATGAATCACAGACCAAAACCTCCAAAACTGTGGACCAAAATAAACCTTCTTTGCTCTTTATAAGTTGATTACCTCAGGCATTTGTTATAGTGACACAAAGCTGGCTAATACACTGCCCAAGTAGACTAAGATACTTCCCAAGAGAAGCGGGTATACCATGCCACACAGGGCCCAACAGGACTGGTCAGGAGGCAGAGGGGTGAGGGAGAAGGTGGGTAAGGGCTAGGGGAAGGGGAGGCAATGTAAGCAGGTTTAGGATTAGCTAATTTGAATCATCTGAGTGAGCTCTGGGGGTGGGGTCTGTCTTGAGCTGTCTGGTGCCTGGCCCTGGGCTGACCAGCATGGAGGACAGTGGTCCTGAGTGCGAGAGCCTGGACTGAGAGGGTGGGCTCTGGGTGAGTTGGTTTGCTATGACAGGTACACCCTGGCCCCTGCTTTGCTGTTTCTAGGGACTGGCTAACCCTGGGAGGACAGTCTCTCCAGAGTCAGAGAGTCCCTAACAAGTCAAAGCATCAGAGCTACAGAAAACAAAAAAGGTGTGAAGGATACGGGATACAGAAGAAAATCAGGGGGAGGGTGCCCAGAGACTAAAGAGGACAGAACAGAGAGAGAATCCAGCAACTGACTGGGTAAGAAGGCCACCAAGACCCACTGTTAGCCCTGCTTAAGTGGGCCACCTACTTGAGTCCCCCACGAGCGTCCTCCCACCTACCTGCCATGGGTCTTGGCGCTCAGATCCTTCAGGAAAGCTACCATGCCTTCTCCTCTGGCGTTGAAGGACACTGTGTGGACAGGATGTGGGATGTCCAAAGCCCTCTGGAGGAGAAGCTCCTTGGACTCCGCCGGAATGTCCCCCACCACGAAGTAGTAAATGGACTCAATCTGTAAAACAGTGGTGCCAATCAATGGTTCATGGACCTGCATGCCCCTGACTGGCACTGGGCTCATCAGCAACATACTCTCTACAAAACCACTTCTTTAAAAAAAAATGGCAGAAAGAATAGCAACAGTACTCCATGTTTGTGGGGATGCTGGGAGGTAAAGTCAGCGAGTGAGGTGATCAAGGCTGTCGCCAAGAGACAACAGAGGCCAGATAGCAGGGGCTGCGGTCTTGGGGTTGCATGAGAAGAACGTGGCTGTTACACATCTAGGAGTAGTTGTGTGCAAATCAAGAAACGAAGGAGGCCTTGGCACAGCCACTGTGGGTAGGAAGCTTATTAGCCACTTCCCGAGGAGGTGCCAGAATTCTGCAGTGCCGCCTCGCCCATCCTCAGCCGGAGGCAGGGTGTGGGAAGGGGGGCATATCCAGCTGCTTCCTGCTCTGGTCTCATGTCACCAGGGAGCAAGAGGCCTGGGGACGTGAGGCTGTCTTGACTTTAGGCAGCTGGTCAGGAGCCAGGCCTGCCCCAGGCTCACTCCACGCTGCCATGCCCCAGGCTGACATTGTACACAGTGAGCAACCTGGGTCAGGGGCCAGAGTCTCCCCCGACACACCTTAAACCAGGGATTCTGGGAGATGCGTACCTCGCCCCATCTAGAGACAATCCCCCCAAAGCGGTCCCTGTTTAATGCAGATGGATGTCCACCCAAGAGGGCCCCAGGACAGCTGTCCTCCCCCAAACACAACCACTCCACTCTTGTTCATCCCCCAGACTGGCTTCCAGGACATTGATCTCCCCAGATACTGATGAGTTCTGTGATCTCTGGGACAGGGACCTCGCTTCAGGGCCCTCACTTATAAGCAGGGAGACATTTGTGTGTGTGCACATGTATTTACACCAGCCTCAGAGAGTGAAAACCAAGGAGAGCTAGGAATGCCATCATCTCAACCCAGAAACGTCCTGAGTGATGGTCTCTACAGGTAACTGGGGATGAGGCCCCAGCAGGTGTGCAGTGTTTTAAGGGATAAATAGGTTTCACCCCTCCTTTGGGATTCACAACACTCTCCCTGCTTTCATCCCAAACCCCAGCTACAGATTGCTACCAAATGGTCTTCCCTTAACTCCAAACCTGGGACTTTAACTCACCTGGCAGAGGGGGTGGACTCACAGTTGGTTCCCCAGCTAATCAGGGGGCCCTGGAGTTCCAAGGGGGGAGGTGGGGGCAGGGTAGCCGAGGACTGGGGCCCGAGTGGGAGCTGAAACCAGGCGACACCTCCCTCCCTCCCTCCCAAGCCTCATCTCTCAGATCTTTCAACACCAGCTCCTTGACATTAAAGAGCCCCACAGGGAGGTAAAAACCAAGCTCCAACCTCTCAGTCAGCCTCCTGGGAGGCAGAGGGAAATAGAGGAAGAAACCATGTTCTCCCAGTGACTTATTAGGCAACTAAATTCTGCTTCCAGCCAGTGCATCTTATTTTGTTCTTCTTCTGATATAAATGACCTTGCAGAGGATGCCCTAACAGGGTCCCAATTCACCGCACCGCTGTTGAAAAGTTTTTCAGCTTTTCAGCCCAAGTTTAGCATCCTGGGGACAGGGTCATCCTAAAATGACACATGGCTCAAGACAAGGGACAGACACAGGGCACCTTCTGAGATTCACATGTGATCTGATGGCTGATCTGTCTGCAGATCAACCGGGAGGTAAGCACGCGTGGGCAGCGCTGAGCCCCGCCTGTGTGGCAATAACCCAAGCAGCCACATTCCTTGGGCAGCGATGGTTTCTCCCCAGATCGCTGTGGCCAGCAGTGAGTCAGAATTTCCTTTCCTTCGCGGAGCCTACGCCATGCTTCACTGTTCATTAACTTTATTAAATTCGGCTTCTGAATCACATGTTTTCAGGCTGCAGAGGCCCTGGGACATGCTGGGCATGGAGGCCACCGGCTCCACCCGCTCCTGCAGACAGGCTCCTTTCTGGTCTCCTTTCTGCTCACATAATAATGACATTTAGAAAAACAGAGAGAGGGATAAACGCAACACCTATCCCCCTCTCTCTCCAAACTGACAAAAATGCTTCTTAAAGTAAAACGGCTCTATAGTTATCTGCTACTTGGGACAATAGGTGAAAACGGATTATTTGATTCAGCGTTCACAACAGCCTCGTGGAGCATGCTTTTATCTTTAGCATGCCCAGTGTAGAGATGAAGAAACTGAGGCTTAGGGTGGTGGATTGACCTGGCCTAGGAGTTGGCTGCCTAACCCAGGAGCTTATGTCCTGCTTTCTGACAACCACACGGTGTTGGATTTAGAAAGGCTGCTCACCCATTAGAGATGAATGTGAATCCGGGAACGATGAAGTCAAGGTCAGGGGGCAGAGGAGGTGGGCCAGGCCGGCACTCTGTTCACTGGCTGGGCTCCCCCACTGTCCAAGGGTTCAGGCTCTTCTGCCCGATATCAACACTGCTGATGGTGGCTTTAAGGGGGTTGTCCTCATGGGAATGCTCACCCTTGGCCATAAACTCAGCCCCCAGGGCCAGGGCCAGCCTTGAAACCCAGCAGCAGGAGCAGCTTCCCGGCTGGCCGGCATTCCCCTAGGGACTGATGTGCACCGAATTTGATAAAATAATGCAAAGGCTCCATTCGGCCTCCTAAGAGTGAGTCACAAGTTTTCACGTTTCTTATTACATAAGACAAGGTGGAGCCTCCATGCCGTTGCTTGGAAGGCCTGTTCTGTCTGGGCCATTTGTTCTGCAGCTCCACACAGCGATGGGCACTCTGCCCACCCACGAAGCCCTTGGCATCTTCCCAGCTGTTGCTCTGGGGTGGGGGCGGGGGAAGGAATAGCAGGGAGTGGCCGCCTCTGTTCCCACTGCCCTCTGCGAACCAGCCTGACGTCCTGCTGGGTATCAAGATCAAGGAGAAGAATTGAAGCCAACCAGCACGACAGTGAGGGGTCCAGCAGAATTCGCCCTTGACCTTGGAACGCTGCACCTTTGGGGAGACGCCAGACCTCCGGATGCGCCTCCAGGTCTTCCCTGTGCCTGCAACAGCCCTTTCCTGCTTTGGCCCGTTTTGATTGGTCACCACCCACTGTCCAGCCTCTCAGACTTCAAGGTCCTTATCCCTACCCTCACTCCACCAGGGTCCTACAAGGCTCAGCAAATTCACCACTCTGGTCCTGAGCAAACCACCTCCCTCCAATTTTAAAAAAGAAAAAAACCAAAAATCCTCAAATCTGGACATTGAGGGTAGGATCTCTTGGTCCCACATCTAGACTCCAAACTCCAGCATATAACCATTATTTCCAATTCATCCCATCAGTGTCCAACAAACATTTATAGAACTCTTAGGAAGCTTCAGGGACATACAAAGAAAAGATCTGATGCCCATCCAAGCCACCGAAGGAAATAAATGAGATGCTACATTCACACACCCACAGGACCAGGCCTTCAGCTTATTGACCAGCAGCAGCACAGGTTCCTTATGGAAAGGTGCAGGTCAGGTCTCTCAGTGAATATGATTTTTTAAATATATATTTTTTAGTTGTAGGTGGATGCAATACCTTTATTTTATTTTATTTTTATGTGGTGCTGAGGATCGAACCCAGTGCCTTCCACATGCAAGGTGAGCACTCTATACAGCTGAGCTACATCCCAGCCCCAAATATGATTTTTTTAAAACCAAAAAAAACAATTCACCAGGCACAGTGGTGCATGCCTACAATCCCAGCAGCTTGGGAGGCTGAGGCAGGAGGATCGTGCATTCAAAGCCAGCCTCAACAAAAGTGAGGCCCTAAGCAATTCAGTGAGACCCTGTCTCTAAATAAAATGCAAAATAGGGTAGGGATGTGGCTCAGTGGTTGAGTGCCCCTGAGTTCAATCCCCAGTAATGCCCCCCCCCTCAAAAAAAAAAAAAAAACAGATTCATGACTACCAGGCAGATGGGAGAGAACAAAAAATGGAAATACAGATGTCTTCTAGTCATGGAGCCTTCTCCTGAGGGCAGTTAGCTTTCTTGGGTGGCCTAAGCCAGGGCTCTGGGATAAACAGTCCTCTCTTCCAAAGACCTGGGAAAGGGGAGGCCAGGGCCTCCCAACAGACCTCTCCTCCTCAGAAAGGCCAGGGAAGCTGCCAACTTCCAAAGCACAGAGGATGCTGAGGAACAGAAGCCCATGCCGGTCAGCACACTGGGCTCAAAGGACAGCAATCCCTCTCCTGCAAACATCTCCTCAACAACCTTGCCGGGCATCAGGTCCTTTTCCACAGGATTCAGTAAGAATTCACCCATTAGTAGTGTTCTTCAAGTGCTGTTATGGGAGCCATGATTTAAAGACCCCCTCATACTGCCTGGGCTCCCTGCTGGGTCTTCAGCCTACCTGTGGTCACAGAGCCTGGTCCTCATATGGACTTGATACAAGACTCAGACTTCCGTGTTGATTTTTGGACCCAGGATGATACCCACTGTCCCCGTTCCTCCAGGTGCACCCTCATGGGGGCAGAAGCTCCGGCAAACTCAGGGAATCATCAGTGTGAGAAATTTATGGTTACTGCTCCAGAAGTTTCTTAAGCCTTAAATCTTGTCTATTCCTAGCAGATGGCAGCTACATGCTGGAATGCGAAACTCCCTGGGGTGGTCAGGAGGGGCCCAAAGCAGAGGAGCAGGCCACCCTGGGAACCTATTCCCCCCTTTTACATACACATGCATGCTCTTAAAAAAAAAAATACAGGCATGGCATTTTTATATATGAGACAGCTGCACTTACTGGAGGAAAACTTGGGACCACCCCAGGCAGAGGCTACGGGCGGAGGGACAGAGCAGCTTGTGTCGCCTAGAATTTCCCACGCGCTCCCAGCTCTTGTCAAGAGCTTGCGGGTTGCGTTTGGTGATCAGCGCCTGCGAGCTCGCTCCTTGGTTCCCTCTCTTCTGTAGGACCTCCCTGGGACTTGCTGAAGCACTCCTCGTTTTCTAGGCTAGGGATGCACATTAGAGAAAGGGGAGCCCAGCCAGACGGAGGAAGGGGAGAGAAGCACGGTCCCAGGGGGATCTTGCAGTTACATCAGGCGGGCCAGTCAGGTTCAAGGCGCACTCAAGAGCACACACATCCAGGAGACTGGGAAATGTCCCATTTCTTGAATGCAATACTAAGGTGTCAGGAATCTTGGCGTTTTTACAGATGTTGAAACAATCTGGAAGGATCAAAGAACAAAGTGGCTTGTATTTGGTTCTTCCTTAACAGAAAACATTTGTTGGTCTGGCTTTCCGAGGAAAACAATGTGTTTCCAATTTCAAATCGTCACTGATAAAATGCAGACCAGTGAGCTCCAGGAGCTGTCCTTTCATGGGGCCAGCACATGGCCTGCTTGCCCAGGAAAGGACTGATGTTGAGGGCCACAGCCGAGTCGGGATGACACATGGCATTTTTGCCAGAAGTAGTGGTTGAGAGGTGACGCCAGCGAGTTCTCGCGGAGTTCCCGTTGAGTTCCAGCTGAGCTCTGGGGGGGGGGGGGGATTCCCAGAGAGTTCTGATTGGTTGGGGAAGTGCCGGAGGGGGGATTTTTCCAGCTGCTGGTTCCTGGACAAGCCGCGTGGCGCCAGCGAGCCGTTAAGTGTGGAGATTCCTTATTGGTTGACTGCTGTATCTAGTTTATGTTAATTAAGATAAGCTGTGTGGAATGTATATATACCCCTCCTGTCCTACAATAAACGGCTTCCACTCCTGCTGTATCAGTGTACACAAGTTGTTCGTCACCACCACCACCCCCCCCCCCCGCCCCTGGTTATTTTGCTGCAGCCGGACTGGGCAGACTTCTGAAGGCAGCCGGGTAAAGCTGGAAACCTACAGAAAGGCCAGGCTTCCAGAGCCGAGGAAGCAAATGTGGATACAGCAAGCTGACCGTCGGGGACCTGGGGACACTCCTCTCCAGAAAGTCCCTTACCAGCTTGGCACAGCCCTCACAGTTCTCCCAGTGATCCCTCCCAGAAACACACACCCTGGGACTGAAAGAGACATAAGACACTGCCATATAAAATTGCTCCTTCTGGGTAAAGCTTTATTTCCAGAAGATTCCTTTCAAAATCCCTATGTCAGTACATTAATGTTCAAAAATGGAGGCTCCTCAGCTTGGATATACTTCACCTTGGAAAGCACAAAACAGTTCCATCTATGAAGAAGAGGACCTGGGAAGCCTCAGAACGCAGATGCTGATGCCGGGACCCCTCAGTTCCCCATCCTCAGAGTCCTCCGGCCTCTCCTCCCCTCAGGGAAGGAAGGTACTCTCTAACTGGCCGGAGGGCAAGAGCGGAATGAATGTGTTGGAGCTATGCAGCAATGGCCTCCCTCCCCGTCCTTTCCCGATGCTTAGGGGGTGTGAGCAGTGCTGGTCTCTCCTGGCACTAGCACCCCACAGCCCTGGCCACCTCACAGAAGCCCAGCCAGGCTCAGGGCACAAGCCTGAGGGAGCCTCTATGTGGTCGGTCCAGTCCAGCTCTACTGTCACCGAGGCCGCTCCCTGCATCCCTCTCTGTGCCCTGCAGGCTATTTCTCAATTGGCTCAAAATTCAGAGTTCAATCAGGTCAATACCCAGGGGCCTCTCCAATGCCAATGACGGGGCCCTCTAGGGAATGCTGCGGATGTGGGGAAATCAAGGTCAGCTGAAGGACAGTGTAAAGACACTGAGAGTGCAGAGTCAAAGCCACCCTGGGGACCCGGGCAGACCATGGACACACACTTACAGTTTCGTCTTTCCCAGCTTCCAGCAGAGCGTCTAGGCGGCAGATGGCGCTCATCGTGGTCAGCTCAAAACTCAGCTCCTCGACCCAGCCTGTTGCAGCGGCTATGCACTGTTGGGTCACCGGAATAGCGTGTTCTTGCCATTTCACAGGCTCTTGAGTAACCCTGAAAGGAATCACATGGGTGGTCACAGGGCAGTGATCAGTGCCACCAGAGGAATGTCCAACCTCAGTCCCCTGGCCACAAACAATGGGCCACCTAATGTCATATCATCAGCAGTGAAGAAGGACACAGCTCCCAGGCCCCTCAGAGTCACCAGGAAAATTTAAAACTTGGTGAAGATGGGCCTGTCTTGCTGAGGGAAGTGTACCTTCTGAATGCACCCCGTAATTTCAAGGTGAAATTATCTTCCTCAAGCCACCCTGACTAGGAAAAACAATGTTTACTTGAGAACAAGAAAAACTAAGAAATGTAAACAGTAACAAGTCCTTTAAAAATATCCAGATAAGCTATTTTCTTAAATGCGCAGGTTTGTATGAAACCGTCTTTCATTAACAACAAATATACAAAAAACTCACAGTATAACAATTTTGCATAAATTTTATTTCTTCTTCTTCTTTTTTTTTTTTTGGTATGAGGTTTTGAACCCAGAGGCGCTTCACCACCGAGTCCCATTCCCAGCACTTTTAATTTTGTTATTTTGAGACAGGGTCTTCCTAAGTTGCTTAGGGCCTCACTAAGTTGCTAAGGCTGGCTTTGAACTCTCAGTCCTTCTGCTTCAATCTCTCAAGCCACTGAGATTACAAGCGTGCGCTACTATGCCCAATTCTTTCTTGACATTTCCTTGTTCTGAAAAAGATTCCCATCCGTCACCTTTTTCAGATCTAAAATTAAATTGTTTTGAATTCAACAGAGCATTGGTTTTTAAATCCTGAGAAAATCTGGTAAAACCATTTAGTTTGAGTTTGGAAACAACAGTTGGAAAACTCCAAAATGTGGAGCCGTTTGAATGGATGTGTGCTTATAATTGCAAATAAATTGGCCCGACAGTCGCTCATGGCCCGCCTCCAGAGGGAGAGCTAGCTCACACTAGTGTCCCTTCTGTGTGGCTTCTCCAGGTAGAAAAAACTGAGCACTGAGTGGCACGTACACTTCAGTAAACATTCCAAGGAAGCAAATTTTGCAAACTTCAATATCTGCTTCCTTTAATAACACACCGCGGCAGAAACAGGAGCCCGGGAGGGCACACCATCAGGATCAGCCCCCAAGAGGTCCTCTATTTAGTCCAAAGCATTTTATTTAAAAAAGACAAACTGAGCTAAGCAGACTCCCCTCCCCCTCGGCAACCAGGTGTTTCTTCTCAGGGAGGTGCAACCATTGCTTCAGATGGAGGGTGAGCACCCAGGCCCAAATTCTCCCCGATCCAGGAATCCGTAAATAATTGGCTGTGAAAACTCTGAGATCCGGGAAATTCTGTAAAGCCAGCCACCTGTCGTTTGGATGAAAGAAGTCAACTTACAGGAGAGGTCAACTTGAGTTGCAAATTGGGTCTGGAAAAACAAGTGAAGTTTGTGGCCTTTGAATTCATTATCTTAGCTAAAATCTAAACTGAGCGAGGGGATTTATGGCCTTAAATATTTGTTGAATATGTGCAGAGGGTTCCTATTCTCGTATTTTTCAACTTCCCTAAGTTGAAAAGTATGTTTCTAAATCTCTTATTTCTGCAGGGCAGGGGACTGAACTCAGGGTCTTGCACACACTAGGCAAGGGCTCTGCTACTGAATTGCATTCCGGGTCCTAAATCTCTCTCATATATATATATATATATATATATATATATATATATATATATATATAATATTTGCAGGTGGACACGGGACCTTTATTTTTACTTATTTTTCTATGGGGATGGAACCCAGGGCCTCCCACGGGCTAGGCAAGGGCTCTACCACTGAGCCACGACCCCAGCCCCTAAATGTCTTTTAACAAGAACATCAAGATGCTTGGTGCAAAGCAGATTAAAGTTTCCTAATGTTTATTCATTGTGAGTTTTCTGCTAAAATTGTATATTCTAGGGGTTTTCAAGATGGTCCCCCCCCCCACCCCCCCAGAGCGAGCTGTGCCTCTGAAGGACAAATACCCGCCGGTTGCTGTGGCTCTTCCCCGCCCTCTGTGCTTCCCCTGGGGACTCACCATATGAAATTGAACCTGGCGACCTGAGCCACCTGCTCCCGCAGGACCATGGTCAGAGCCTCTCGGCACAGAGGAAGCTCGCCCTCCAGAATGTCGCCGAAATCCAGCACTAAGGTGATGCACTGTTCCAGGATGACCCCGAAAATCTGCCGGCTCCCACTGGTGAGCCAGTCCATCCGCCGCCTGCAGCTCTCCAGGGCTTGTTCTAAGGACCCCGTGAACCGATCGATCAGTTCCGATTTAGCCGTCAGCTGAATGAAAATAAAAGGAAAAAGCAGAAATGAGAAGACAGCGCCAAAATAAGTCACCTGGAACGCAGCGAAGCGATCAAGAGCTGAGGGTTCAAAACAACTTTGCAAATGATCCTCCAAATCCTGCAGGAAAAATCTCCAGCCTTTCAACCGAGATACCCTTGGATGGATGGCGCCCACAGGTGCTTGTCCAGGGCAAATTTCAGGACTTGGAGAATTCAACTTGGATTCTTGCCTAGGGCCAGCCTCGGTTTACATTGTTTAGGATAGTCAGCCCTCCAGCATCCTCAGATTCAACCAGCCTGGGATGGAAAATATTCAGAAACAAACTGCATCTGTGATGAACACATATGTACGGGCTTTCCTCCTTGTCATTAATCCCTAAATGACACCGTGAAAGAGCTACCAACATGGCGTTGACATGGCATTAGGTATCACAAGGTATCTCTGGCCAAAAGGGCTTTGCGCTCATCTCTTGGTGGTCCAGGGCTTCCTTGCACATAGCTCCTTGGCTGTGAGCTCATCAATGGCACTGGCCAAAGGAACCCTTCCACCTGAATGGCCACCTCCTCTGTGACCTGAGGTGACCTCAGCAGGTCACCAGACCCAGCCACGGAGGCAACTCTGACTTACATTGTACACTCTGCCATCTTCTGCTAGGTAGAACTGCGGAAACAGGCCAACGGCATACCTAGAAGCCACGGGTCTCCTCAGAGAAGTCACATAATCTGCATTTTTATAAAGAAAGACAATCAAAGTGGTGCTCAAGAGGTAAAATCAATAATCAATAAATGGGATAGTATAAAACTAAAAACCATCTTCGCAGCAAATGAAACAATCAAGAACATGATGAGAAAGTCAACAGAATGGGAGTAAATCTTCACCACCTGCACTTCAGAGAGAGCATTCATCTCCAGGATATACAAAGACCTCAAAAAGCTTAACACCAAAAATAATAATAATAATAACCTAACCAATAAGTGGGCAGAGGAACTGAACAGGTGTTTCACAGAGGAAGAAATATGAATAGTCAACGAATATGTGAGAAAGTGTTCAACATCTTTAGCAATTAAAGAAATGCAAATTAAAACCATACTGAGATTTCATCTCACTCTAGTCAGAATGACAATTATTAAGAACACAAGTAACAATAAATGTTGGTGAGGAATGGGGAAAAGGCACACTCATACTTTGCTGGTGGGACTGCAAATTGGTGCAACCACTATGGAAAGCAGTATGGAGAGTCCTCAGAAAACATGGAATGGAACTACCATTTGACCCAGTTATCCCACTCCTCAGTATATATCCAAAGGATTTAAAATCAGCATACTGTAGTGAAATAGCCACATCAATGTTTATGGCAGTTCAATTCACAATAGCCAAGCTATTGGAATCAACCTAGGCGCCCTTCAACAAATGAATGGATAAAAAAAAATGTGGTATATATACAGAATGGAATATTACTCAGCCATAAATAAGGATGAAATTATGGCAGATGGAACTGGAGATTATCATGCTAAGTGAAATAAGCCGATCCCCAAAAACAAAAGGCCGAATGTTTCCTCTGAGATGCACATGCTGACTCACAATAAGGGAGGGTGGGGAGAGGGAAGAATAGAAGTTCACGGGCTTAGACAAAGGAAAATGGGGGCATGGGAATAGGAAAGATAGTAGAATGAATCACACATCACTTTCCTAGTTCATATATAAATACATGGCTAGCGAAACTCCACATCATGTTCAACCACAAGAATGGGATTCTAATCAGAATAAGTCATACTCCATGTATATATAATATGTCAAAATACACCCTACCATGAAAGAAAAATGGTGCACTGTCAAAGCTTCTTATTTGTATTTCACAATAATTTTTTCCCTGACACCGTTCAAGTTATAGCCCCAGCAACACCGACAATTGGTGATGTTTTGTGTTCTGTCCTAAATGGGGAAGCATCACCAGATGCTGTGGAAAACATAACTTTAAATAGAATCTTTTAATGAATGAACAACTGGGAGGCAGAACAGAGCTCCCCTCCTGGCTCCCTGGTTCTCTCGTCCAGGTTAACTAAGGCAAATGGACGAAATGGTAAAGCGTTTAATTCTTGAAAACTTCTCTGGAAGACTTTGGAACTTGGAGAATTCCACTTAGATATCATCTAGCCACCGCTCTCTCTAGCGGACGTTCACGACTAAATGCACGAAATGTAGGATGCAAATAATGGACTCAGAAGACCCCAACACTGCGTCAGAACCACGGGGCTTTCCTTAGCAAATCAGGTGCTCAGCCCTACGAACATCTATCAGGCAGCTGCTACGTACTGGGCTCAGGGCTGACAAGATGACATTCCCTAAAACATCTTCCTACTCTCCTCCCTGGAACTTCCAGAAGGCCACAGAGGCTTTAGGAACCACAAGGACCCCGCAGGACAGAAGATGAGTTCAAGCTTCACAGAAGTGCTCTTATATGATGATGATGTTATTGTGGTGGTGAAGTCCCCAAAGGTGACAGACAGCCGGAGGTGTTCCTCACCTCCCCCTTTCTGGGGAGGAAGGGTAATAGCTACCTTGGAAAAATGGAAAGGTCCAGGTTGAATTTTATAGCCGCCCTGGCCAGGCTTGGTCCCTCATCACAAGGGGTGATAAAATTCAAACGCCTTGAGGTCCAGCTCTCATATAAAGAGAGTGGCTACTTGAATTCCGTCAGCTATACCCCTGCTCAAGAGACCTCTCCAACTCTGAAATCTCTATTTCCGAGGGTTCACCTTCCTGGCTGGCATTGATGGAGGGACTTCAGATCACCAGCAGCATTCAACTCTTTACCTGAGACGTTTATCTGGGCTCAGGAGAGGGCCGGTATTTGAGGCTTGAGGGGGTGGGTCACTGGAAGGCTCCACAAGCCGTATTGCCAATTGGAACGTGAGATATTGTGGGTTCTGCATCCAGTGATCGGGGAGTAGATTTGATTAGCTAAACCTCACACAGTGATAAACTGTGGAAGAAATGTAGAGACAACTATCTGAAGGCCCTGGAGGGCAACCAAGAACAGACAAAAACTGGAGTAGCACTCATCCTCAAAAGGAAGGCACAAGCCCGGTGTAATGTGCACAACTGTAATCCCAGCAGCACAGGAGGCGGAGGCAGGAGGATCCCAAGTTCAAGGCCAGCCACAGCAACTTAGTGAGGCCCTGTCTCAAAATTTAAAAAATAAATAAATTAATTAATTAAAGGGGCTATGGCTCAGTGGTTAAGTTCCCCTGGGTTCAATTTACTATTTATTTAGCAGGAGAGAGTTTGGAGTTTGGGTTCAGCCAAGTTAACTGCCTGCTAGGATAAAACCCAGCTCTCCACCTATCAAATGGTAAGTGGATAAACACACTGTGGTGTATCCACACCAGGAATATGATGTGGCCATAAAAAAGAATAGCAAACTGGTACATGCTACAGTATAGAGAATCTTTAAGATGTGAACAAAACCAGTTACCAAAGACCACTTATTGTAAATTCTACTTATATGAAATGTCCATAGTAAGCAAATCTATAACAGACAAAATCATATTACTTACAGCTGGTGGGTGGGGGTCAGGGAGAGGCAGCAGAGAGCTGAGGGGCACAGGGTGGCTGCTTTTCGAGGAGATGAAGCTGCTCTAAAGCTGACTGTGGGATGGTTATAGAAATCTGTGGATATGCTCAAGATCACTGAATCATACACTTTAAATGCGTGATTGATGTGAATTATGTCTTAATAAAGCCATTATTTAAAAAATCAGTTTTAAAAGAACAATGAGGAAGCATCTCCCACGACAAAGAAAATGCAACCCAAAGTCTCTACAAATCACCCACACTGCCCAGTAGAAACCAAAGAATCACCAGATAGAAAGTCGGGAAACCATGACCAAAAACAGTCAAGAGAAAACAGTCATCTGTAGACCTGCCCTGATAAGCCAGATGTTGGGACTAGCAGAAAAGGGCCTCAACATGTTCATAAGTGTTTTCATTCATAAATATAAGCAAACTATAATTATTTCTATTATAAACATTATAAGTGTGTTGAAGAGAAAGAAAAGAAAGGTCCTAACAAGTGAACAAATGAGGATCTCAGCAGAGAAATTGAAAGACCCAAAAAGAAAATTTGAAACAAAAGTACTGCTTGGATGTGGCTGAGGTCAGGTACTGAGGTGGTGGTACATTCAGCAGAATTATGATGAGAGAGTGGCTGGGGATGTAGCTCAGTGGTAGAGCACTTGCTTGCTTTGCATGTGTGTCGCCCTGCATTTGTTCCCCACCAAAAAAAAAAAAAAAAAAATGAATTGTGATAAGATAAGCATCTTTTCTTTATGAAGTATCCTGCCTCCAGTATTTTGTTATAACAATACAAAATGAACTGAGACAAGTACAACAGCTGTATCAGCCTAACAGCAAATTAGAAGTGTTAGTTGGCTTGAAAATCTGTGAAGAGAAATCCCCAGTCTAAAGAGCAACAATAACAAAAGGTTATGTAAATCAACAAAAGTTTCAGTGATCTGTGGGACAATCTCATGATGTTCAACATAACTATAACTGGAGTCTCAGAAGAAAAGGAGAGAACACATGGGGTATAAATATAGATTAGAAGAAATAATAGCTGAGAGTTTCTAAGATTTTCTTTAAAAAATAACTTACAGAGCCAAGTTGCTCAACAAATCCCAGGCAATATAAATACAAAGAAAATCAAACCAAGGCATAACATTATATAAAGAATAGTACCATAACTTAAAAACAAAAATAAAGAGAAAAATCTTAAAAGCAGCCAACGGAAAAAAGAAATGGTATACATCACATACAGAGAAAAAGCACTATGAATATGGATGATTGCTCAGATGAAATGGTGGATTTGGATATTTAAAGGTCAGAAAGACAGGTTAAGTGAAATAAATCAATCCCCAAAAAGCCAAAGATCAGATGTTCTCTCTGATATGGGAATGCTTACCCATGAGAAGTTGGGGAGAGGAGGAATAAAAGCTCAGTGGATTAGTCAAAGGGGAATGAATGGCAGGGAGGGGGAACAGGAATAGGAAAGACAATAGAATGAATTGGACATGACCTTCATGTGTACGTACATGAATATACCACAGTGAATCTCACCATCGTGTGTGTCCTCAAGAATGGGGTTCTTATTAGCATCAGATATATTACGTACTTGTATAATTATATCAAAATGGATTCTGCTGTCATGTATACCTAAAGTGAACCAATTTGTTAAAAGATCAGAAAGAAAACAAATATTAACTAATAATTCTATATCCAGCAACAGTATCCTTCAGGAGTGAAGGCAAGGGCTTCGGTATCTGGGAAGATGGAGAAAATGCACTTTTCCCTATTCCTTCCTTAACTAAGTACAACCAAAAATTTATGGACATTATAATATTAAAACAGTATAGGAATACTCTAAAAGGTGCAAAGGAGGTAAATGGACTAGGGAGCTTGGCACACAAAGAAAGGTGCTCTACTCCAGCCAAATGCTAGAGAAAAGATGCATCTGCACCTCTCATCTCTACTAGCAAAGGCTGGGTGGAGAGCTTAGATGGCTGGCCTTGGCAGGCCACAGTAGAGTACACCAGAACCTTGCTGCGGCTTTATCAAAGAAGGCAGAGCAGAGAGCCAGGACTCTGAGTCCGCAGGTCAGCAACAAGTCACCACAGCAGGATGTCCGGGAGGACCTTGGAGGCAGCCTGGGATTCCCACTGCCCCA